GCCTATATAGAAAAAATGGGTAATAAATTAATACACTACATGTCTCGGTATATAATATGTAAAATTTATGGTTTTGTAATCTTACTTTGTAGCAAAGGAGAAAACGAATGGCCTTGTGTTGTGGGGGGCGAGTGTCGGTATTCTCGACCAGCACCGTGTCTGGAGCAAAAAGGCATAAGAAAAGAAAGAACAACTATCGTTCGATGTATTTTTACACAAAGAATTATACAAATGATTCAAAACAGCTGAACCCCAACTATATGTGTTTATTTTATCAAATTGTCTTAACAAGGGTAAATACATGATATTAACAGTATTACCCGTTGTTTCAGGAAATAAAAAATGGCCAAATAATATCATTATGTAACACCGAGCTTTCATAATTTTTTCTTGCTCGGTAGAGTTTTCGGTTATTACGAGACTACTATGATATTCTCTAAGAAGACGGAGATTAATACCTTGGCCTCTTGACACTTGTTCAAATAAAGAGACTCCCAAAAGTTCCTCGCATATGGCGTTGTCTTGGTTGACTCGGCCATTGACAGTCTTATCGTCGATAGATAGATCGAATAACATGTACACGTCCTCTAGTGTGACTGTACATTCACCACATGGAAGATGAAAGGTGTGAGTTTCGGGTCTCCATCTCTCCACTAATGCGAGAATAATTTTATAGTCAACATGGTAGTTGACTATGTTGAGTAACGGACCAAAACCGACATGTCGTAAGTACGATTCAATTTGAACATCGTAAGGGACATACTCATGGACACGACAACGAAATATTTTAACATCCTATTAAAAAACATGAATTATGTATAAGAAATACAAGATTTACGTATAACAATCATAAGAATTAAGGAACAAAAAATTGTCGGCAAAAAATAAGTATTGAGGAAAATACACTTACAAATGTTTCAATGTTGTTCGGAGTTCCTCTATGTTGATCACCCATGGTCAAGAGAGACATTTCTTCTTGATTACTCTTGTGTTGTTGTTGAGACTTCGAGAAAGAAATAGTGTATGAGTTATGATTGTGATGAAAATATAGGGTGAATGTTACATGTATTTATAGGAAAATCTTGAAAAATACTTTGCATGTAACTTATACACATAGGCGCCACACTAGGTAGGGCATGCTCTTCCTTATTGCATATAGGCGCCACACTAGGTGGCGCATGCTCTCTTTGTTGTACATAGGCGCCATTCAACATGGCTTCTTGCTTTTTGCATGCATGCAAACCTGCAGTGTGGCAGGGATCAGATGACATACATGCAATTTTTGTTGTTCAATGACAAGTCATCCTAGGTGGCGCATGCATGCAAAAAGAGGAGGATAAGCCACCCTAGGTGGCGCATGCATGCAAAAAAAGGAGGATAAGCCACCCTAGGTGGCACATGCATGATAAAATAGGAGGATAAGTCACCCTAGGTGGTGCATGCATTCAGAATATCAATCCATTTAATCGTCTGTGTAGGTTGCATTACTAGTATACATCCATAACTCACAAAAAACATACCTCAACAACCTGGATCATTCACAAAATTATACTATTGTTGTCCATATTAACGGTGAGATGTTCAACTGCGATAACTTAGGTTTTAATTTCTGTAATACCGATTTTATCCGCTTTCGAATAAACAAGAAATTAAGTTTTGTATGCTTCAAAGATAGAGTAGAATCCAAATTGCAGTGTGGTCCAGTTTACCAAATTCTTTACAAGTCCCCATTTCTATTTGACAACAACCAAGTCAAATTTTATCAACTTAAGGTGCGTGACGATGATGGTGTTCGAAACATGTTTCGAACTCATAAACAATCCAGGTTCGATGAGATTGAGCTGTATGTTTTATTACAACAACCAGATCAATCTCAAGTGGTAGATCCTTCTCAAGACTTTGAAGAAGAGGATGAATCTGACGAGGACAACCATCCTGAAGTCGATGTTATTGACCAAGAAGAAGAAGATGATGAGGAAATGATTGATTTTATGGTTAATGATGACGCTGCAGATCAAGAGCATGAATTTATACATGCAAGTCATGCGTACGACCCTCCGTTTCACATGACGGACTTGAACTTGGGGGAAGATGAACCAACCTCAGATATCTTTCACAATCCTTATATGCAGACTGAAGGGGCCTTGAAAGTTGGAGACAAATTTTGAATAAAAGAAGAATGTCTTAGAGCTATAAAAAAAATACCAAATGGAAATTTTAGCTGACTTCACTGTAGATGAAAATAATCAGGGAGGTACGTTATTTTATGTCGTCAAAAACCAATTTGCCCTTTTCGGTTAACTGCATCTTACAGGAAGAGAAGTGATTCATGGGAAATAGGTTCCATTGATCCACTCCAAACTTGCATCACCACTGTTTCGACACAGGACCATCGAAAACTTAGTTCTCAACTAATATGTTAAGAAATGTTGTCTCTTATTAGCAAAGATCCATTATTAAAGGTGAGTACAATTATTTCTCATATCACTACGAGATTCAATTATACTCTCTCTTACAGAAAGGCATGGATCGGGAGGACTAAGGCAGTTGAACTTGTGTACGATAATTGGGAGGAATCGTACAAATAACTTCTAAGATTTTTGGTGGCACTCAAATATTATGCTTCGGGAACTGTTATAATTTTGGAGACACTTTCGGCTTTTACCCCAGACAGAACTCGTGTTAGTGGAAATGGAATATTTCATCGATTGTTTTGGGCGTTTGAACCATGCATCAAGGGCTTTGCATTTTGCGAACCTATTATACAGATTGATGGAACTTGGTTATACGGGAAGTATAAAAGAACATTACTCATGGCAGTGGCACAAGATGGAAACAATAATGTTTTTCCGGTTGCCTTCGCTCTAGTTGAAGGTGAGACAGGTGGTGCATGGAATTTCTTTATGAAGAATCTCCGATTACACGTTGCTCCACAATCCAACCTTTGTTTGATTTCAGACAGACATTCATCGATTGTGAGTGGATACAATAACTCCGATAACGGTTGACAGGATCCCCCTTCGACACATGTCTATTGCATTAGACATATCACATAAAACTTCATGCTCCATATCAAATACAAGACACTTCGAAAGAAAGTTATTAATGCAGGGTATGCCTTAACAGAACTGTCATTCTGATACTATTGCGAAGAAATCCGGTTAGCAAGCTCAGAAGCATTAAGGTGGATCGATAACATTCCAGTGGAGAAGTGGACTCTGGCATTTTACAATGGTCAACGATGGGGCCACATGACAACAAATCTGGTGGAATCATTGAACTCTGTATTCAAAGGCATCTGAAACCTACCAATTACCGCTTTGGTTAGAGCAACATATTTCAGAATGAGATCATTGTTTGACACAAGAAGTTTAAAATGGAGGGCAGTGTTACAATCAGCGCAATTGTTCAGTGAATACACGACGAAAACATTTAACGAGGAGGCTGCGAAAGCAAACACCCATAATGTCACAGTGTTTGACCGTATTAAAGGTTGATTCAGTGTACAAGAGACAATGGATCATAATGAGAGGAGGCCAAGGGGATATTATCGGATCGAACTAGATAGAGGTTGGTGTGATTGCGGAAAGTTTCAAACATTTCGCATGCCTTGCTCTCATGTCATAGCGGCATGTTCGCATATTCGCTTGGACCCAATACAACATATATCTCCTGTGTACACGGTAAAGAGCGTTTTAAGTGTGTATATCAATACCTTCTCCGTGTTGGAAAAGGAGGATTACTGACCTGCTTATCAAGGGGACATTGTTTGATACAGTGAACAAATGCGACGGAAGAAAAAAGGGCGCCCGAAAAGCACTCGTATTAGAATTGAAATGGATACGACCAACAAAATGATAAGATTATGCAGTACATGTCGTCTTCCCGGACACAATCAAAAAAACTATCTGAATATTGGGTCTAGCTCTACAACATAACTTTTTTATAGCAAACTATCTAGAGTGTTTAATTTGTTGTACGCAATAGATTTCACTTTAAATAATTACAACAACTTTCACATCATGATCCGATCGGCTTACTCCATTTTCGTTCCTCACTGTGATGTACCTTTCTATTATGCGCATCTCTTTTGGACAAAAAAAATTTATTTGAAAAATGGTCATTTTGATAAAAAAAAATTGAAAAAAATGATTATTTTGGAAAAAAATTTAAAAAATGATTAATTGAAAAAAAAAATCATCAATTGTATGTCGATTCATCTAACTACTCATTTTTTAAATTCAACTAACTACTCTATTATTTATAATTAATTAATGAAATTATTTTAATATATAATTTTATTTTATTATTAAAATTTTTAATACCAATGGCAGGGTTTCACATCAAATTTAACATGACAACTTCCATATTTGAATCTTCGAGGTTATCCTAAGAATTTCATCCACTTGAACTTGCATGGCATTGGCATTCATATATATTCGTGCTCAAAGTGACTTAAGTTAACAAGTACTGCCTATTTAAATAACATAAACAAAATTAAATTAAAAAGATAATCGAGTTCGCGAAATCATCTGAAATCGTTAGAAAATAGTACATGGCAATCGTTAGAAAATAGTACATGGCAATCGTTAGAAAATAGTACATGGCAATCGTTAGTTCTCCTTATAATTTCACAGGTTCATTACATGCCGCGTATTTTGACATTTATCCATTCACAAAGGAACCTGCAGCAAACTTAGGACCTCTCCTACTATTTTCTACATAGACCTACCCAACCAAACTTCACCCCCTAAGGAATAAGTACAGAAAGGCGGAAGAAGAACGAAACTCAGACCAAGATATGTGACTGTGAAGAATACCCTTTCTCCTGACCTTTCATTTTACCAAACCATACAATTAGGAAACAAAAAATAGATTAAACAAAAGTAAACTACTAATCTACGGGTCTGCAAATACCAAACAACAATGTATGCATTAAAAAGCGGTAGCATTCGCCCACTAGCCTTCCCCTCAAAACCCTACTTCAGACACAGCTTCGGTTACTCAGGAACAGATAAATCATCATCTCCAGAAGTCCCTGAACTTGTCCCAACTACCTGATTCTTGCATTCAATCTTCTCACTCACTAAGCAATTTGCACTTTCATTCGTCGCTTCTTGGGTTTTCGATTCATCACTTCTATCGATCATTTCATTCTTGCCACTCTCTTTTTGATCCTCGCCATCATTTTCTTTGGCAAAAGCTTCATCTGGTACACACTGTTGTGTGGCTAATTCAACCTTAAGCTCATCCTTCTCTCCCTTAACTTCATCAAACACAAAGCCACCTCCCATTTCAATACCTTTGAACTCATCCAGATTCGAAACCATCTCGCTTGGAACAGACTCTTCCATAAAAACATCTTCTACACCTTCAGCTTCTGATACTCCATCATTCTCTGACTTAACAGCAGCATTGCCCTCAATGTTTTCATTTCTCTCACTTTCCATCATTGAATCAACCATCTCAGCATTGTTCTCAATTCCCATAACAGGTGCATCAGATCCCCCATCACTCTCATTATCAGACACATTCTCCACAACTTCCTCATTGACATCTTCCACAACCTGGTTCTGACTCTGCCTCTCAAGAAACAGCATCCTCCTTCGCAAATCACCCAACTCCCTCTCCATTAAGAAAAGACGCTCCCTCAAAGTCAAATTCTCTTCCTCCAACTGTGCAATATGAGAATCCTGATCATCAACCCTATTCTCTAAGACATTATTATAATCCCCACCTCCATAATTCGGATATATCATCTCAAACCGGCTCAAATCATGGTCCAGCCTCCTCTCAACCTCGACATGTTCCTCCACATCACTCTCACTCGACCCATCACCCCCATCTTCATCCTCATCATCATGAACATCTCGAAGCCTAATCAAACCCTTCATCGACCCATACCCATCAACACCCCACTCTTCCTTTGCCATATCTCCCAACATCTCCCTGGAAGGAGACAATATAGGCGTAGGAAGCACAGCCGGAGTCACAGGACAAGGCGACACAAGTGATGCAATTCCACCAGATTTCTTAGCACGAATAATATAGGAAGTGGTATTCCTGGGCGCAAAAGGAGCAAATCTAGCATTAAACTTCTTCTTAGGATAGAACTTACGAGCTTTCAAACGGTTCTGAGATTGCAACTCCTGAAGAGTAGGTGGTTGATAACCAAGACTCTGATTGGGTTTTTCCATTCTCCTAACATCTTTCCTCTTATCACCACCAACCTTCTTCCCCTTCCAGTTGTTGTTGTTGTTATTATTATTACTACTACGACCCGGCTTAGCGAAATTAGGGTTCTGAAACTTGATGTTAGGATCCAAAGGAAGCTGTTGAGACCAAACCTTATATCCACCACGATTCATCATCGGCGCCAGATTCTGATTCATCATCTGCTGATTCATTCCTTGATTATGGTTCATCTGAGAGAGAAACTGTTCCTGAGACTGATTAATAATCTGCGGCGGATTCATCTTCATCTTCATCATCTGAGACTGAGGCTGCTGAGGCGGATTCATCTTCATCATCTGGTTCAAATTCATCATCATCTTCGATTGATCGTTCATCGTAACAAACAAACCCTAACTACAAATTCCTTGAAATTTCAACGAAAATAGTTACGAAGAAAACAAGCAAAAAAATTATCACCGATCAGAAATTCTTGATCGGTGGATTCAGATTCAAAAAACCCTAAATCGATGTTTAGTGAAATTAAGAACCGATTAAAAAATTAAGCGAAGGTGAAATCGTGTAGGGGAATCGAGATTTCACAAAGGTGAGAGTTGAGAAACCTTGATTTTGATTATTATTTTTTTGTGATTTACTATTCTGAAAAGAGTGGTTATCGTTTCTTGATGTGGGCATGCGAACAGAACAGAAGAGACTTATATAACGGGTTGAGAATAAAATGGGCGGCCCGATTTTCATCTAACAAACTCACGGCTTGGATTTCAGATGCGATAGGGGGACACACGTCACTCGTACCTAAATGCTCGATTCGCGATTTCTCTTTTTTATTTTGACATTAATTCATTTGCATCTTCCCATGTTTTTATCTTTGTAGGAAAAAAATACTCCATGGATAAAATTTACACAGAATAATGGCATGTTTTGTTCTATACCGGATATTTTCACGAATTTATCCAGGTAATTCACTTATCTTCGATAAATGTTTTATCAATAACAGTAGCGTCTAAGTAAGTGTTAATAGTAGCACTTGCAACGTCAACATCGTTCAAGTCAGTGTTGTTAGTTGCACTCGTAACGTCATCACGGTCGAGAACTTGTTTCTATTTCGGTATAAGACATTTTTGTTGAAAATCCATCAAATATTTATGATGAATTTTTACTACAATGACAATTACTTATGAGAAAAATAAAAAAATAAGATAAGACAATGCAAATTCTGTGATTAAAATGAATTGACTTGATTACAAAATAGAGGTTACTCCCTCTATTTATAAATGAGCTTGCACTCTAAGCCCAAAACTATAAAAGCCCAAAATATTTATTTTGTTACTAAATCAAATCTATTTAAATCTAAAACAAATCTAATTTGTGTGTAGTTTGTTTCGATCCACAAGCTTTGATTGGGCAATGACTTCCTTCGAGCAACCTGCTTCGATCCACCTATAACCCTTCGACACACATAGTTTCGACACAATCGAATTACAATTTAACACACCACTTAATTCATTGTGTCTAAACTATCTATATTCAACATGACTCTTAGTCTTCTGAATACTTCGACTTGCACTCCCTTCGTCATGATGTTTGCAATCTGATTCTCAGTTCTGCAGTGTTCCAAATTCATCTTCCCATCTGCTATTGTTGTACCCCAAAATTTGTCCTCTCATATTTCTCAAAACATTGCAAGAAAAATCTCCAAGTTGTTCAAGTTTGCTCAAGAGTGGGTCAGACAAATCATCTCCTAAGGCAGTCAACCCCAAATTAGGGTTTTATGTTGCATCAAGATCCTTGAGTCCAAATGACCTCAAATGATCCCTAATGTCCTAATATGTTCTCAAGTTCATCCATGCCAAATTTCAAGCCTTGCAAAGGAAGTTTGCTCAGTCAATTGCTCAAAGGGTCCAAAATCGACTGTGCTAGGACAAAAGTCAAATGTGACCCAAATACAGTCAAACTTCAAGATTTTTTGTAAACATTCTCATTTTGAATGATATTTCATCATTTGATCAAGGGTTGATCATGATTCATCAAGGATTGCTCAAAATTCATCAAGACTCAAAAGTTGCTAAATTAGGGTTTTGCAGGAAAAGTCAACTCAACTTTGACCAAGCATAACTTTCTCATACTTTATGATAAATGACCCATCCAAAACTCATTTTGAAGAGGATGCAATTTCCTACAATCCATATTCATACCCCAAGATCAGAAAATTCACTCACAAGAAGTTATAAATTTGGACATTATAGGTCATTTTTGAAAGTCAACAAAAACACTTTTTTTGCCAAAGCTTATAACTTGAGCATGGAATATCAAAATGATATGAGACCAAAAGGGTTGGTTATAGGACATCTCAAGATTTCTAAAAAGTCCAAGAACACTTCCAAAAGTTCAAAATTGAAGAAATTATGCATTGTTGAAGTTGGGCATTTTTGCAAAATTGCCAAAAGTCAACTATCCCCAAAACTTTAAATTTTGTCAAATGGGCCCACTCTTTTCCACTTGATTTGATCTTCCCACATTACACACGTGTCCTATCTTCAGCCTTGTGTCCATTTATCAATTTTATTATTTTATTTGATTTTTTATTGAATTATTTCACTTTTAATCAATTTAAATCAAATAAAATCTCAAAACTTGATTACATGAGATCTTTTTCTATTTCCAGGACTTAATCATCATCAATATCATGATCAAACTCGTATCAAGTTTTCCATGTGCAAAAAGATTGGATTTTTTACAAAATAGGCAAGCTTTCAATGGTGGATCAAATCAAATCCCATGGCATCAATGTGCAAGGATTCAATCCATAAATGTTGACCTAATACATTTTATATTACATATACAAGTCAAAGCACACGAAATTGGGACCTAGAGGCTGCAAAAACACCAAGAACCAAACTTGCAAAATTGACAAAAAGTGTGAAACTGAAATCATCCTCGGAGGCATTTTCAGAAGCGAAACTCAACACCAATCAATTGTTGGAGGTTCACTGAGTCACAACCACCCCCTAGCAAGCTCTCATACGCATCAAAATGCACTGTAAGCATCACGATTCTTGGCCCTGTATTCAAAATCGTAACTCTATATTTTCGCATCATTCTGGCAAATCATGGACATATTTGTAATGCTTGTGAGATTTCTGAACTTTTGGCAATATTTGATTTCATTTATATGGACTGTAACACCATAGTCGAATCAAGGGTTTTTTGGTTTGTTTTTGGGGCATTTCTTTTACAGGCAAAATTAGCTCCATTGATGGCCATAGACATGATCGGGGGGGGGGGGGGGGGGGGGGGGGGGAGGACGAACTCAACCATGTGCTTGGATTAAATTTTCATGGCCTAGAATTGATTTTGGGAACGTCCTGCGAATTTAGCTGTGGATCTAAATCTGCAGGTAAATTTACAGGGTCTAAAGGTCAAGGACGAAAAATGTGTCCCCCTCTTAGTGGCCGGTTCAAACTTAGTGCGCTTTATTTTTTTTGTTTTGGCATATTGATCCATTTTTTCTTATTATTATTATTTTCCATTACACTAACAATCAACACATAATGGTTGAGTGGTAGTGGCGTGTATCCAATGACCAACAGGACCTGGGTTCGAATCCCAGGTCCCTATGTTATTTGTTATATTTTTCATTCAGGTGATCCAATGCAATTCCAAGCGTGCAGCCCACTATAGTCTCTCAATCATTCAATGGCCAGATGGGCAAAGGCCAAATCTGGTGGCAATGACCTGGAGGTCTACCATGGGCAAAAGTCAACGCATACACATGGAATCAGGAAAGTCAACCAGGCCTGCACAATTGGGCCATGGAATTTGCTATTCAGACTCCCCAATCAGGCCCAAACCTCTAATTCTTTCTATTTTCATATTTATTTTATTTATTTGTTTGTTTAATTATTTTTATTATTAATTAACCAATCAAACTTTTTCTTTACAAAATTAAAACCAAAAAAATATTTTTCTTCATTAAAACCAAATTTTAATTTTAATTAATAAATATTAATTTAATTAATTTAGTTTTAATTAGGAATAACTTTAATTCCTTTTTTTAATAATTAAAATTAACTTAGACATAAATAGGTTTTTATTAACCTTGATTAATTTTATTTTCTTTCTTTAAATATCAAAAAATTCAAAAATATTTATTTTCATTAATTAATTAATTTAGGATAATTTCTTTCTTAATTCAAAAATAACCAAAAAAATCTTTTCTTTAACAATTAAAGGGTCAAAACCCTAAAAACTCGCCGTCGATTTAATTTCCAGCACGCGATCCATTCTATTCAATATTGTATTTGTTTTTGGAATGTAATATATAATTAGGACTATTTTTATCGCTTTATTTATTTTCCGCATTTAAATTTTAAAGGGTTGCTTTTAGTGATGTAAATACCCGACGCCTTGTAATAGTTAGTTAAATTTCCGCAATTTAATTTCCGAACTTATAAACTGTTAGATGTTTGTTAATAGGGTTTGCATGACAAGAATGAATGCTTAATTAAAATCAACATAGATCACCATTAACATGTATAAAGATAAAATTAACTGAAAACAACACACTCGCAAATGCGCACTCTTAGGGTACACCCCACTTGGTTGCCTTCGTACGTGGACATTGAGTATAGGAAGTTTTAGAGGTCGCCCTCTTGTCTAAAAGATCATAGTCGCCTCGAAACAGTTCCTCAGATATTGTTGCCTCAAAACAAATGATCTAAGACATTAGGGTTACCGCTAAGGCGTCCTAACATTGCTTTAGTGACCGTAAGTCCCTAAATTCGAATTGACCCTTAAACTCCAACGACGGTGCTACCTACTCATCAATAGTAGGATAACATTTCCTAAAGGAAGATAGCATAGAACGATTCCTTTTTCGAGTAGGTAGATGGTTCTTAAGTACTTGCTCTTCCCAAAACAAAACAAAACTTTTCACACTTACACCTTTCAAACCCACAAACACAAAGAAAAGCAAATTTTGAAAACATATGAGCAAGTACCTAAGTGCCTGTGGATAACCACAGATAGAAAGGGTGCTAACACCTTCCCTTTTTATAATCTACCCCCCGAACCCGAGAAAAATCTCGAAAAAGGAATTTTTCTGTGCTTTTTTCTTTTCCTTGTTGGATAAAATAAAAGTCAGTGGCGACTCTTGCTTACCGTGATATTTTGCAAACACAAACGCAAAACGCAAACCAGCATTCTAAAAAACAGTCAGTTCTCTCCCACCGTATCACAACTATCTGCTCTCGAAGATAATGGAATCTCATTTCGATGTGCTTGCTTTGACCATGTGTTATTGGGTTTTTCGCCAGATTGATAGTTGACATGTTGTCAATATCTTTCCCTGTTATCTCTTCGACCAAGTTCACCATCC